TGTGTGTGTGTGTGTGTGTGTATGTGCGTGTGTGTGTGTGTGTGTGTGTGTGTGTGTTCGTCTCTCCGGGTATTTCAACTCGGCATCCAAGCAAGCTCCGGCGCCAAAATTTTGCCAATGGCTGCCCTGGCCAATTGCCACCTCAAGACCACGGCACTCACCCTCACGCAAGTCTGGTCTCCTCATGCGGGAGGGTGAAAGTTTTGGCGGAAAAATCGCTAACTCAGGAGCCTGAAAAACTAGAAAGCTGAAATTTTGAGGTTATGTTCGCTGTCCAAATAGAACTCGAAGGTTTCAAATTCAGCTCCTAGATATGCGTGGTTTCCGCGTATGGCCCCGTGAGGGTTCCAGGCACGAAAATCGCTAACTTGGGAACCAGGAATGTGAGGAGCTGAAATTTTCAGGGAATATTCCCAGCACAAGTAGAACTTACAATTACCAAAATTAGCCTCCCAGTATTTGCGATTTCACGTATGGACCCGTGAAAATTTTTGGCGGGAAAATTACTAACTCAAGAACCAAAAAGTTTGGAAAGCTGAAATTTCAACGGAATGTTCCCTGTCCAAATATTCCATCGACTATTAACTTCCCTGACCTCGAGGACCGCTATATTACACATTTCTATCTACTGGGTTCCGAGCGCTCTCATTACAGCTCAAAATGTTGCAAAAGCGCGTGATCGCACGGGCTCACTCGGTACGCGTCGTCAATGATTTTTTCGTCATCGATGCAGCTGGCAACTTCTACACTCAGCTCAACCTTGAACACGAGCTCGTCGCAACAACTTCATGTTTTTGTTCAGAAAGATTTTCGGCTCTGCTTAGGACTTATCCTGGTAATACAGCATGCGCACCATCCGGGCAATTCCAGTAAAATTGTGGATGTGATTTTTGAAATACAGGAAGCATAGTTCGTTTAATTCTAATGTGCAGGCGAATCACATCCGAAGAGAGCACTCACATATGTTAATGAAGACATTGATCCTAAAGCAGACATGCATTTTAGACCAAAAGGGACACAGGCTTAGCAGAGTTCCTCATGTAAGAGCATGTCAGTAGCACTGATACTCCACTCCGACTCTCTAGGGTGCTTGCTGGTAATTTTTGTCTGGCAACATTGATACTGTAATTGCATCGGTATTGTTTCCGTCATGGTTTCGAGACGAAAAAATCCACCTATTCCAGTAGTGACGGGTGGAACGGATGGTATCGGCAAATCATATACAATTGAGCTGGCAAAAAGAGGACTTCGAAAATTCGTGCTTATTGGACGAAATGAAGCAAAACTTGAGGACACAAAGGCATATCTCGGTCAGGATTGATATTCTTGACAAAAAAGTGCAACTTCTGTTTGTTTAAATTTTTAACGTAATGTTTTCGCGAATCCCTTGAGCTTTCATAAAAATGAAGTTTTGAGTAGTTCAGTATTCTGAGCAGAAAACCGTCTAGAAAAAGTCGGACTTCCATATCTTCGTTCGGGAGACGGAGCAACCCAGCTGGAGAACATTGCCGATTACGCCATTTCAGCACGGACATACAGTTGTATTTGTGAGTATATTTCAGTGCCGCTGAAACGAGGGTACTGTCTCTGTGTAGATTAATAACGTGCAATTAATGCTAATTCTCTTTTTTCCGGAAAGTTTTTCATACTGTTTTCCAGAAGACGAATTTGGCGCTCACGTGCAAACTTATTTGTTCGATTTTTTCGATGGTGATTACGCTGAACTTCGCAAATACATTGAAGATATAGATATTGGCTTTGTCTGTAGGTTATCTTAGCTAATTTTGAGAAATGTTTTATTTTATGAGACGTTTTATTTTTCAAATTATTTTCCCACGGCGTTGTTTGGATCTGTTGTCTCATTTCTGCAATAATCCGGACGTGGCTTTCTCAGTATGAACTCCAGCGAAAACCAGTTCTTTAGCTGTTCTTTTATCTGCCTCTTCCCACTTGTACCCCAGGCAGTTTTAGAAAACAGGAACACTGAAAGCGTTGTGCAAAATGAATGTTGAGGTGTTTAGGCCGCAGGAGAATACTTTTTTCCGTTTTTGCTGTGCAGCGCTATAGCCAGCAAAGACGCATATTGTCTGTGTGTGTCCGGAAGCAAATGAACTTTGTCATTCACTTTCATCTCAGCAACCAGGAAAGCTTAGAAGCTGAAATTTTGGGTGTATGTTCCTATCCCGTGTATCATCCTCCCGTTTTAAAATTTTCACTCATATGTGCCCAGACCCTGCGTACGGGCTCCCGAAAAAATACACAAATTTCTCTGGCGGGAAACAATTTCGCGAACCAGGCAAGGTACAAAGCTGAAAATTTGCACCGACATTCTCAGAGTAAAGATTTCAACTTCAGCTGTCGCGCATACTTGTGCAGTGCGTACGATCTTATCAGCATTTGCATCTTGGTACTGTGCTTTGCCGGAAAACAGCGGCTGAAATTTTGTTAGCATGTTTATCGTTCATATGGGAAATCGTATACCTAAAATGAGTATCGATTTGCACTTGCGCCACCACTTAAGGCACTTCAATGGTATTTGTAGATATTCGCGTATCGGATAAGATTTTCTAAAAATTCGCTGCGATATTCTACTTTAAAGTGCAGTCTTGATTCTGCTTGGAAGTGAAATTCCCTAGAGGTGGTTACGAGGAATATTCAACTTTACTGAAGGATCAGAAACGAGTGCGTCTTGCAGCGAACGACCGCCCTCATTCAATTATGTAAATGAGCATTCAGTTCATTTGCATATTTGGATTTTTTGACGAAAGACCGCTCTAGCAACATTTCCACTTTTAGTAAACTAGAAATTTGCATTTTTATGTGTTTTTGCTGTGCAGCACTATAGCAGAGCTATAGCACTGCTACAGCTAGCAAAAACGCATAATGTTGAGAAGTTGTGTGTGTATGTGTGTGCGTGTGTGTGTGTGCGGAAAGCGAGTGCATTTTGTCACCCAGTTTCATCTCAGCAGGCAGGAAAGCTGGGAGGCTGAAACTTCGGATATATGTTCTTATCCCGTGTGTCGTCCTCCCGTTTCAAGATCTTTTCCCATACGCGCCTAAACCCCGCGCACGGGGCCCCAAAGAAATTTGTTGGCGGGGAACGATTTCGCGAACCAGGCAACGTAGAAGGCTGAAACTTTG